TTGTAGTTTTCTTAGAATAGGTCTTTTTTTCCTCTGGTTAGATTTATTCCTAAATATTTAATCCTTTGGGTGGCTATTGTAAATGGTATTATTTTCCTAATTTCCTTTTCAGAGCTGTCTTTGTTAGTGTAGATGAATCCAACTAATTTTTGTATGCTGATTTTGTACGCTGTCATTTTGCTGAATATTGCAATGAGTTCCAATAAATTTTTGCTGAGTCTTTGGAATTTTCTATATATAGAATCATATTATCTGCAAATAGAGAGTTTCACTTATTCTTTGCTAATATGTTGCTGTTATTGTTGTCAAGTGCTGTGGAGTCTGTTCTGACCCACAGTGACCCTGTATTGGGCTTCTGAGGAGCACGGGTAAGCTTTAACCACCAACCCTGCAGTTCAAACAGACTTTGCAGTCCAGTCCATTAACCCACAGTGCCACATGCCTTTAATTTCACTCGTTTGCCTTATACCTCTGAATTAAGACTTCCAACACAATACTGAATAGGAGTGGTGATAAAGGGCATCCTTGTTTGATTCCTATTCATAAAGGAAATGCTTTCAGTTTCTCTTCATTGACAGTGATGTTGGCTGTTGGTTTTGTATCTATGCTCTTAATTATGTTGAGGAATTTCCCTTAAATTCCTACTTTGTTGAGTATTTTCATTAGGAATGGATGTTGCATTTTGTCAAATGTCTTTTCTGCATTATTATTTCCTTTTTCTTTTATACATAGATATATGGTGGATTACATTGATTGTTTTGCTAATATTGAACTATCCTTATATGGTGGTGGTGGTTATGTGCCATGGATTTAGTTCCTTATGTATCAGGTATGAATCCCACTTGGTTATGATGTATTATTTTTTGATACACTGTTGAATTCTATTAGCTAGGATTTTGTTGTGAATTCTTGCATCTATGTTCATTGGGGATATTGGTCTATAATTTGCCTTTTTAGTGATGGCTTTCTCAGGTTTTGGTATGAGGATTATGCTTGCTTTATAAAATGTATTAGGAAGTTTTTCATCCATTTCTGTATTTTGGAAGAGTTTGAGTAGAATAGATGCCAGCTCCTCTCTGAATGTTTGGTAAAATTAACCAGTGAAGTCATCTGGGCCAGGACATTTTTTGGCTAGGAGTATTTTGATGACCTCATCAATTTCTTCTTTTGTTATAGGTCTGTTCAAGTCTTCACTCTATGTAAGTTTAAGTAGGTTGTATTTTTCTTAAAATGTATCCATTTTCTTTAGATTTTCAAATTTGTTAGAATACAACTCTTCATAGTATTGTTACTCTCCTTTTTATTTCCAATGGTTCTGTGTTCATGTGGTTTCCTATGCATATTATTTGTGTCTTCTCCCTCTTTTCTTTGGTTAGATTTTCCAATGGTTTGCCAATTTTATTAATCCCTTCAAAGAACCAGTTTCTTGTCTTGCTGAATCTTTTCTACAGTTTTTCTGTTTTCTATCTCATTGATTTATGCTCTAATCTTTTATTTTGTATTTTCTTCTGGTGACTGTACATTTACCTTGCTTGTCTTTTTCTAATTGTTAGAGATGTTGTACTAATGTATTGATTTTTGTTCATTCTGCTTTTTGGATGTGTGCAATTATTGCTATACATTGCCCTTTCAACACTGCTTTTGCTGTATCCCACAGATTTTGACATGTTGTTGGGTATTTTTTATTTCTAAGAATTTTTTATTTCACTTGTTACTTGTTCTACTACCCTTTTAAGAAGGGTGTTATTCAGTTTTCCATGTATTTGAATTTTATTTCCTTGATCTTCCTTTTGCTGATTTCTAATTTTATAGTATTGTAATCTGAGAAGATGCTTTGTAGTACTTTAATTCTTTTCAATTTATTGACACTTGGTTTGTGGCCTAACATATGGTCTATTCTGAAGAATATTCCATGTGCACTGGAAAAGAATGTATATTGTACTATTGTTGGATTGAACGCACTATACAAATCTATGAGGTCAAGTTGGTTGATTGTGTTGTATAGTTCCTCTGTGTCTTTGTTGAGTTTCTGATTGTTCTGTACTTTTTCAAAAGTGGTGTATTAGAATCTCCCACTATAATTGTAGAGTTGTCTAGTCCTTTGTTCAATTCTATTAAGGTATGATTTCTATATTATGGGGCTCCTTCATTGGAAGCATAGATATTTATTATGGTTATGTCCTATTGTTCAGTTGACCTTTTATTATGAGATAATGTGTTTGTATCTTGTGCTGGTTTTTGCCTTAAAGTTTATTTTATCAGAGTTTAATTATTGCCACAACTGCTCATTTATTTCAATTTGCTTAGTATATTTTTTTCCCATCCTTTAATTTTTAGTGTATTTTTGTCTTTGTGTGTAAAGTGTGTGTCTCCTGTAGACAACATGCTGAAAGATCCTGTTTTCTTATCCATTCTGCATCTCTCTGTCTCTTGACTGGTGCATTTAATCCATCAAAATTCAGTGTAATTATTGATAGGCTTGGATTGTCAATATACTGTTTTTTGCGGTGCTACTGGTTTCTTAGTTCTGTATGCTATTCTGTGTTGAGTTTATATTGTGTGCTCTTTCTTGTCAATTTCTTTGTTTCCAAAATCTTGATTTTCCTTTTCCTGATTTAATATGCAGTTTTGTTATGCTTCTTTGAGAGTACCCTGTACTTTATTAATTTCTTCCTCATTTTAAAAGAGTCTGTTTTATCTTGAAATTTACCTGACCTCATCACCTGGATCTCTGTTATACTTTTCCCTTCATTCACTTTGTAGTTGTCCTCATCATAGACTGACATCCTAGATCGCCTAATTTCATTCTTCTAGTTTTTTTCTGCTCTGGACTCCTCCATGTCTGAACTGAGTTCTGGGTGGTGTTGCCACATATGTCAATCTCCAGTTGTTGTCTGATCTTGTAGGTTTTCGGTCCAAAGATCTTCCTTTCGTATGATTTGAAGTGCTGGCTTGGCTTTTACAAAATCCTTTAATTTCTGTTTATCCTGAAATGTTTTGATTTCACTGACCTATTTGATTGACAGTTTTGCTGGATATATGATTATTGTTTGGCAGTTTTTTCTTTCAGAATTCTGTGTATGTCTCCCCATTGTATTCTTGCCTGCATGGTTTCTGCTGAGAAATCAGAACTTAATCTTACTAATTTTCCTTTATTTGGTACCATTTCTTTTTTCCCTAGCAGCTTTCAGGATTCTCTCCTTGTCTTTGATTTTGGAGAGTTTGATTATGATATATCTTGGCGATTTTCTTTTTGGGTCTATCCTGCCTAGGGTTCACTGTTTCTTGAATGTTCAATGTTTCAACATATTATGCAAATTTTCATCCAGCAGCTTTTCAACTATATTTTCTGTGGTTTTCTTTGTCTCTTCCTATTCTAGAACTCCAGTCTTCCAAAGGGTATTCCTCTTCAATCTTAATTCTTTCTTCAAATTTTGTCATTCTTTTTCCTAACGGTTCTTCTATCTTAGCAGTACTGAGAGATTTATCTTCAAGTTCACTAATTCTGGCTTCCATCCCTTCAATGTTACTCCTTTGCCTTTTCAGTGTAGTCTCCATTTCTGATATTTTAGTATTGATTATCTGAACCTCTTTTTGTAGGTTTTGTATTATCTCCAGTGCTGTATCTACTTTGTTTTGATTGTTCCTATTGTGCTTTTCTGTCTTCTTCCTTATTTTCCTCAATGTTTCTATGGAACATTTGGAAGCATCTCAATAGCATTCTCCTAAATTCTTTTTCAAGTAATACCAAAGCCTCTTCTCCCTCCAAAACAATTTCTAGCTCTTCCTGGTTGTTTACTATCTTGTTTCTGTACATTAACAAGAATATCCTGCTACTTTTTATGCATTGTGGTCATGTTGTATTTGTCTTGATTAGATGAATGTATGTTGGTGTATTCTTAATCACTCTGAAATTGTCTCCTGGTAGGTATGATCAGGAGATGGACTTCTCTGTTCGTTGCTTTTAAAGATCAACAGCAGGTGTTGGTTGTAGACGGTGCTCTGGTGTATGGTGGTGGTGTGCCAGGGAGTCAGTTCCAACTCATAAAAATCCTGTACAAGGTTTTTGAGGATGTAAATCTTTACATGAGCAGAAAGCTTCATCTTTCTCCCACAGAATGGCTAGTAGTTTCAAACTTCTGACTGAAAGTTAGCAGCCTGACTCGTTACCCCTATGCTAGCTCTGGTGTATAGCAGCTAGTATTGGCTCTTGCCCAGTTGGTGATATTTTTTAGTGGGTGCAATTATATCTTAGCTATATGACTGCAGTTGCTGTCTCCTGTCAGGTGAGGAAAGAAGAGAAAGAGCTCCCACAAGATAGGCCAAAAAGAAGAGTAAAAATAAGTCATAAAAACCCAGGGGGGAAAAATATATAAAGACAATAAAACTGGAAAAAAGGACATAGGGAAGTTTTTTTTAAAATAATGACAATATTATAAAATAATAAAACCCAGTCATGAAGCAACCATGGGAACGTAAGAGTAATTCTTTAGCACCACCTAATAGACTCTGCCTTCTAAGCTACCTGAAAAAAAACATGATGTTCCCACTGTGACTCTCTGATATAATGATGTTCCCACTAGTGACTCTCTGATCTAACACAAGCCCTTTTTTTTTTCCCCTCCCCTCAAGTCCATTCAGATTCTAGTGAGAACCAGCCTAGGGCTGGCCAGACCCAATTTGGAAAAGACTCCTGGCACAGGATTTTTCTCCTCCTTTGATTCTTGAAACTGTTCTTTTAAAAAAAAAAGGAATACTGAGGAGTTTCCCAAGCCTTGAGGTTTACAAATAGGCACTGGATGATCTCCTATTAGGTATGATACAGCATGGAAGTCTACATAGGCTCTAAGGTTTTGTGGCTTTTTGACTTGAAGTTCTGGCTTATAGTTTTTGGTGGCTTTTTATCAGTTGCTGTGCTGCTGGTTATAACAGAGAAAACATTTATGATTGCTCCACTAAATAATTCACTTGTGAAACATTAAACAAAGAAAGTTTTTCACCTTTCGTCCTGTAAATGCAGCACGGTGAAGTGGCGTGTCTCCCATGTCATTTAACACATTTACTTCTGCACCAGCCTAATAAACATAAAAACTTGAAATTTTTTTTCACATATGAAGAAACACACAAAGATGAAAACAATTCTTTAAAAACATATTAAATGCAGGCAGTCTCTGAGTTACAAGCATCCAACTTACATACAACTCATAATTAAGAACCAATTACAGTAAAACCTATCATGGGTAGTCCTACATTTTTAAAGTTCACTTTACCCCACTTTGCTTTTATAAAACATGTGTATTAGTACCGGTTTCACTAATCAAAAGAAACTCAAAGAGGATTCTTGCATTTACAAAAAAAGGCAAAAAGTGAACCTAGTGTTCAGCTATTTGTTTTGCAGTGAGCCATAAAAGAGGTAGTCTTCACACTAAGCTGTGATGGCATAGCTATGTTCCTTCCCTGAACACCAAATATCCCAGCACCAAGACACTACAGCTATGAACTGTGCCTGTGAGCACTGTGTGTTAAATGTTATTTCACATTTTATATCTTATTTGGTATGATTTAGTAAGTCATTTTGGGGTTTTAAGAACACTCGAAAGTGTTCCCACAGAAATTAGTGGCAATTGCTTTTTCACTTTGTACCATTTGAGGTCACTTTCTGAATTGGTCGTGAAAGAAAGGGATGTTACACAATGAAAGATATTTTTCTTTAAAAATTTATACAGCTTCATTCAACTTTAGAAGTAGTCATATTGAAAAATGGAAAAGTATCTCTGAATGTAATATTCCTTTCCTTCACTACCAATTTAGAAAGTTTTTAGGGGAAAAAAGGTTGTCCCCTTTTAAATGGATAGAACAACTCTAAGATACAAGCCAATTTCAGAAACAACAATATATGAAATAAATTGTCCTTCATAGAACTGACAAATATTAAGATATTAAGTTGTTCAGTTCTCCTTAGGAGATTCAGACATATTTTTCATCATTCAGGATGCACATTTGTTGTTTCTAATTTTTACTGTTATGATCAGTAAACTAAAAATACTATCTTCTTTCTTTAATATGCTCATCTTTGTAATTTTAAAACCCAAGAATGTAACCAAATTGGCAAATGTTTTATTATACATAATTTTAGCCACAATTTTTTAAAAATTGGGAGGATGTGTGGGAGGAGCTAATAATTTTAAAAACAAAAATAGAAAAAAATATCACTTTAATCAGGTTAACCTAATTTATGGAGTTAGTAAGAAACATTCAAGTTTCTTTAATGGTGAATTATTGCTTTAAATAAGCCATTATATCTCAGTTATTTGCAATACATTTGTCTTGGAATTCCCATAGTAGCAGAATTTATTATATTCATTTTCAAATTAAACCATAAACTTAACCTTCAGCAGATCCTGGACCACTTGTCTATGTCCAAAATAGCATGCCAGATGAAGAGGTGTCCAGCCCAAATTCGATTTACTTCTTCCTAAAAATGGGAATCCAAAAGGAATATCTAGGTGTTATATAGGGAATGTTGGGAGAAAATTAGTTTCTCCTTAATAAGCTACTTTCATACTTTGGTGACTGGCTCTCACTAACATTGCTTTATAAGTGAACAGCAAGCGGTATTATGATACAGTAAGTGTAATAAGAGTAACGGATACAACTCAGAAGACCCAAATTCTTGGTGCCACCATTCTGACTCCGATTCTTTTCTCTAAAAGATTGGATGTGGGTTATAGTGAAACTAGATGATCTCTAGTGACCTGCTGGCTTGAGCTCTAAGGTTCTGCATCTCCAAGCATCTTGCAATCATCTATCACAGATGGTCTCCCGGCACAGGAGTCCAGGAAAAGTAACACTCTTCGAAAACCTATGCCATATATTGAGGGTGGATCGGAATGGAAAATTTGTACAGAACATTTCCTAAAGCTTTTGGAAAACTGATAACTCTACTACAAACAGGCAGTGACTGAAAATGGAGACTCTAACTTCAGATAAAATCTCAGTTAATGAGGATATTGGGTTACCAGAGTGGAGAAGAGTTCAACTAGCTGACAAAAACTGAAATGAAAAGCAATGAAATGTCAGATCATAACAGCAGAGTTAAGAAGATGTATAAAAAAACTGAGTGTTGCATGTACTCAAACTGAAGTTATAGAGGGTAAGTCAAAAAGGCTTGCTACTAGGGTTCCAGTTCATATATGCAGAGGTTTATTCCAAACAAAATGGGTTTCAACATGTCTCTGCTCTCAGTGGATGGCTGCAGACAAGTTCTCTTGTTTCAGTCTCTTTAGGGCACCTTTCCAAAAAAGGTCCAATCAAAACAGTGACTTCTGAGAGGATCTACTGCACCAGTTCAATTCAAGGCAGAGAGGTCGACTCCTAGAAGGTTATGACAACTATTCTTTCGGATTTCACAGGGGTAATTGAGATAGTTTTCTCAAAGGACTATCACAGAGGTTGTTATGAAGAAATTGTAAGAAAACTGAAAATTGCATTGGTGAAAAAACAGCTAGGAAAATTGTGCTGAGAAATTGTTTCCATCACAATAATGCACTTCTTCATTTTTTGAGAGCAGCAAGGGCTGTCTTAGGAGAATTTCATTGGGAAACCTTACTCCCACCCTGCAGCCCAGATCTTGCCCTTTAAGCTTCTTTTTTCCCCAAACTCAAACTCAAAGATTATTTGAAAGGAACACTATTTGAGTTATTCAAGGATACCAAAACTGCTTTCATGTGGTATAAACTGAAGAACGCAGAATTCCTTGGACAAGGGTTAAAGAGATGGGAGCACTGCCTTCAGAAGTGTCTAGACTTAGATGGAGGAGGTGTCGAGAAATAATAGCTTCACGTTTTGAAATTTTTGTTTCTATGATTTTACTTACTCTCATATAAGTCAGTTCAGCAAAAATGATGTGGTGGCTTTACAGCTTACAACTGAGACAACTCCAAAAATTTACCATAATTTCCAAATTAGGCTTAAGAAAACACAGCCTCTCAAATTCCCAAAGCTCACCACTTTCGCTGCCAGCCAGGGCTAAAGTCTTACTGGCTAATATGAGTGACAGTATCTCTCTGAGATTAGAAACTGGCCACAGCTCATGGATTTCAGGTTTGGAACCAACATAAGCCCCTGCCACCAACCTCACCATGCCCTGGATTGGCCTCTACAACTCCCAGAGAGACTCCTGCTGCTTGAGAGAGTTTGCCATTTACCCAAACTCCTGTATCTGTCTCTTCTCAAATATTTCTACTTTGTGCTCTGGAGCCCCTGACTGTACAGTTAATGAATCCTAAAACCACACTCTTCTGCCTTGATCATTTATTTTACCTTCTGCTCTTTTCCAAAACTTCTCTCTCCCTGATGACAGTTATCTCTCTAATGACAATTCTCTTTAGGTCAAAGTCCACATTTCCATGGACCATTTGTACCTCAGAGAATAGGTGCTGTTGTGAACATAGTACTGTCTTTAATCAGGTAGCACTCCATTCATAAGGAGTTCTAGTGGCACAATGGTTAAGCACTCAGCTGCTAACCCAAAGTTTGTAAAGAAAGCTCTTTAGAGCAGTTCTACTCTGTCACATGGGGAAGCTATGAGTTGGGATCAACTCAATGGCAACCAACAACTCCACTCATGCTTTCCTTCTCCTTTGTGACTCCTGGCATTAAGCCAAACTTCCTCAAACTCTTTCTCTGCTGGATCTATCAACCTCCTAGTGGCTCTTCCCTTACCAAACAATGTTGGGCACTTTTGCTCCACTGCAAATCTTATCAGCATTCTAGGGGAGTCTATTACCTATTCAGTACCTAGTCTCCCAGTTTCCTGACTTACATCATTTCTTACACACTTTCCCTCTGATCCACCTCAACTCCCAGAGCCAGAGCTTAGATCTCATTCTCATCTTTGAAATCATGAATGCAGAAAATCAGCTTGCAACACAAGCTCCCAACTTTCAAGCTTTTTCACACAGGTCTGATCTGTGTGTCCTGTTGGGGACCACAATCACTGAGATGTTGAGGCCCTGTGTCATGGACGAAAATCCAACACAGTGGCTCCACTTAGAATTGCTAGCCAGGAACCCTGAGGGCCAAAGCAAGTGACCTCTGGATGTCCCGGGTTCATTGGCTTTTACGAACTCACTGTTGGGCTAGCTTTGTATAATTCTCTTTGGTCTTATTCTTCATTCTATGCTTCTAACTCCAGTAATTGTAGCTTCTGAGAAAATGGTTTCTTATGTGCCTCTCTTAATGTCTCCATTGTGTTGGCAGTGCGTAGGGTCTTAGGAACAAGTCTCTTTGAGGAACAAAGATATTAACTTAATACATGAGCCCTTGATACCCATGGACAAATATTAAAACAAAAGCCTCTTCTAAAGTCGAGGCCGTAAAAGTCCCAAGAGCAGGTTTGCTGGGCTCTGGAGACAGTCTGCCCAAGGAATTTACTCGAAGTAGATTGGCAAATTCTGGAGTATCGTTCAAGGAATAATAGTGTCAGCCCTTAGAATCGTCTCCAGGTGTCCCTCTTCCTCCTGCAAGCCTTAGCCAGGTAGCTGAAACCAGGTACCTTGACACTCTCCAAATCTTTTGAAATCCTTTTCACCTTTACCCATTCGAGATTCAGTGCTATAGGTATGTTAATTAGCCTTGAGAAACCTAGAGTCACTGCCTTAGGATTTGAACCTAAAAAGTAATTTATAACAATTTGCTTGAATTTCTGGAAAATTAAGGATGTTAGATTATTAAGACAATTTGCGATGTATATTTTAGAATTTGTTCCTGTAAATCATTGTGTCCTGTTTTGAACAATTAATCACATTTCATTTCTGTACCCTGTCTTAATGATCACCTTCTTCCTTTGTGTAAAATCCCTCCCTGAAATAAAAGGCGAAGGCAGATGGAACACTGCATGCATTACTGCCTGCAGGGGCCATGATGCCTGTAATCCAGGGTCTGCTCGCCAGTCTTGCATCCACTCTAGTTTCGGGGTGTCTCTTTGTCTCTCTCGTCGCGTCTTTGTGTGTATTCTTTTTCTATCTCTGTCGCCGCCAGATCTCCCTACTTCGTGAACTGAACTCCCCTGCCAAGGCTGGTCCCTGACAGTATCCCATACCTATCCTTCAACGTAATCAGTCCTTCAGTTCTTTAATACACTTCTCATATGAATAAAACATTCCACAATCTTCACTTCCTTCAATAAATCCAACTTGTATTTCTTGGTCCTTCCAATTCCCATTTCTTTGCCAATATCCTCCATATTTTTATTTCACTATCTTTGGCACCGAAACCTAACACCTAAGCCCAAAAAATAAGAGAAACTGAGGAACAGGCAAGTCACATGTGGGATGCTAGAAAAAGATCTTCAACCATCCATCTGCAAGGTGGTCACGTCAAAGCAAGCTCTGTAGTGTGTGTAGGGCAAGGCCCAATGTTGGCTTACATTGCTCTTGGATTTCAATGTCATTAAGTTTCCTTCAAGAGAGGGCCAGGAATGTAAGTGTGTTGCAATAGCAGGAATAGTCCAGATGCCAGGCAGAGGTGTGACAGAGTTCAGTAAAAGCCAAGGTGAGTGTCCTGTATTGTTGACAAACTCAAAAACCTGACCCTAAGTTTCAACTACAAATCCCTATGAGATTGGAGTGCCCTGGTCTCCCATTGCAAACATACAACAAGGCTTACAGTGTCTTTAAATGTCATCTCAGTGGAGATAGGAGGGAAGGCAGAGGCTCTGAAGAGGGCGCAGAGGCTACAGAGACTGGGTTACACGGAGATTACTCTTTAATCTCCCATGGCTCCTGAATGGGAAGGGGCTTGTTGAAATATCAGAGCCACTTCAGAGGACAAATCATATTTCTCTGCACATCTGAATGTGATATATTTGTAACCCACATACACAAGGCGTATGAGGACTTGGCTGCTCCATACCCACCTAGTCTTCTTCCTCACCATTCCCTCATCACAACCCCAGCCTAAAGGCCCTTCCTTCTCTGTTTCTATCTCTGGGTCTTGGCACAAGTTGCTTCTTCTTCCTTGAACATTTCTGTCCTCTATCCTTAACTGGTTAACTTCTACAGCCTCTTCAAATACTTATGCTAGAATAATTTCCACAAGAAGTTTATTCTAATCCCTCAAACTTCAGGTAAATCTCTCTCCTCTGTGGTCCCCTGACAACCTGCACCTGCATGTCCCAGTGCATATTTTGTAATACAGACTATTCCATGGATCTACAAGACGAGCACCTGGTGAGAACAGGGATCTTGTCTGTTCATCATTATCTCCTCAGTACCTACCATGGAGCTGGGCATACAGCAAGTACTCAAACACACTGGTTTAACTGCAAAGTTCTCAAGGAGAAAAACGACATCATAGAAAGCACCTGTGAGCTCAGAGTCACCCTTGTACTATGTCAGGCTCAGGATCCATGACAATTTTAAGAATAATCTCAATTTCTCTGACTTTGAAGAGTCTAAGAGACACTTCACCCACTCTTGGGAAGGTTCTTCCTAGGGCAACAGATAGTCGTTTATTGTATGCAGATCAGAAAGATCAGAATTAAATAAATGAGAAAGTGGTGTAAACCAGTCAGAAAGTGGAAAAAAAAAAAAAAAAACAATCACACAAAGCTTACCCTTGCAATTAATGTCAGCCATTACATCACTCTTCTGCATGGCTTCTAGCACCTGTCTTACTTCTTCAGTGTTGCCATTTCTGGCATGATGGAGAAGTTGTTGTTCTGTTTCTGTGCTCATTTCTAGAATAAAATAATATTAATATGGTTATTATCTCAGAATATATTAAGCTTTTAGATATTACCTGCTAACACAATAAGATAGAAGACAGACACAAAAACTGATTAAATGAATTGGCTATATGGTCAGAACTTGGCCCTAAGACTCTGCTCCCACTGTATTATTATCAGAGAAGTGCACTAGACATCTGGGCAAGCTTTGTTTTACTTAAAGTGTCATCAAGTCAGTTCTGGCTCATAGTGACCATATACAGGGTTTGCGAGGCTTTATATCATCATGAGGGCAAAAAGCCTATCTTTCTCCCATGGAGCAGCTGGTGGGCTTGAACTGCAGATTTTGTGGTTTGCAGTCTAGTGTTTATTGTATTGAGCCACCACGCTTATGAGCAAGTTTTTTAACTGCTCAAAATCTCAATTTCCTCATCTTCAAAATTCAACCAACTTTAAAGAGCTATTGTGAGGTTTTGTATATGGGAGTATTCTATCAAATACAAAATATTATGTAAATTGTTTTTATAAGTGACTAGATACAAACACAAAGTTAAAATATGGGCACTCATATAGAAATATTAATTACTGAAACATAAATTAACACTAAAAACTATGCAAAGATATCCAAAACATTCTGCATAGCAAAAAATTTAGATAAGAACCTTTAAAAATAAATTTTTCTCGTCTAGTTTTAAAATTTTTAAAAACTTTTTTTATGAGTTGGAACCAGCTTGGTGGTGCAAAACTACCAACCACCACTACTGTGATTTGGGTGAAAGTTTACAAAGCAAATAGGTTTTCCATTGAATAATTCATCTCTATTTTCATGCATGACTGACTGCATTCCCACAATGTAACAGCACTCTTCCTTTCTACTTCCTCCCTGTGTTTACCATTTCCATTCATCATCCTTTCCTATCCCTCTCTGGCTTCTGAGCTTTATCACTGGGAAAATGCTGCCCTTTTAATCTTATATAGTGGGTTGTTCTAGGGAGCGTGTTATCTCCCTAGTGTTATGGTTAACCTTACAAATATGTTTATTATTTGCATGCCAGTTAAGTCATAGGGGTGAAATTAGTTCCAGGCTTGAAGGACATCTAAGAACCAAAGTCTTTGTGGCTCTGTCAGAACAAATGATTATTTTGAGTTTTGCTGTCCAGTTTTCTCCCACTCTATTCGGGACCTTCTACTGTGCTCTCATTCAGAGAGGGCAGCAGCCACAGTGGGTACCATCTAGTTCTTCTGATCTTAGGGTTGTGGAGGCTAGGGTTCATGTGGTCCAGTAGTACTTTGGTGTTTCCATGAATCATTGATTTTCTTTTTTTCTTTTTATTCCAAACAAGGACTCTAATAGTTGCACTTTAGACAGCTGTTCACAAGCTTTTAAGACCCCAGTTGCTACTCACCAAAGTACAATGCAAAACACTGTCTCTGCAGACGAATTATTACAATTGACATTCCTGTCCCCCTAGACTAGGGTCCTGAGCCCCCTGGTCCACTGCCTCATTCCCTCAATGTGTCTTCATAACGTTACTTCCTGTGTCATCTACTATATTCATGGATGTATGTGCAGCACTTATACATACATATGTAGAAATATCCTGTCAAACCTATATTTTCATGGGAGCAGTTCCTTTCACGCTCAACTTTGTGTGTCTATGTATCCACTTAAAGATAATTGTTATTACTGTTATTGCAGGATTGTATGTAATATTATTTACCTTGGTTGCCTTTAAATCTTTCACTCCTCTGTGTCTACATTTACACTGATCATTTTGTGCTAACCTCCCCCTTACTGTATACCATCTTTTTCTTCACCAAGTTATTAAGTGTACCCTCTAGTTAGTGATTTACCCTCTCTTCCCACCCCATCCTTAGTAACCTTCAAAGAATGTCTTTCTATGAGTAAATCTGTTCTTGACTTTTTACAATAGTGAGCTCACACAATATTTGTCCTTTCATAATTGACTAATTTCATTCAGCATAATTTCCATCAAGTCTGATCATGTTATGAGGTGTTTTGAAGATTCATCATTAGTCTTTAATATTGCATTAGTATTCTACTGTGAATGTACCATAGTTTATCCATTCATCCATTGATGGCCACTTAGTCTTTTTCCATCAGTTTGCTACTGTGAATAATACTGCAATGAATATGGATACATCTGTTTGTGTCACTGAGACTTGCTTTGTGGCCTAATGGATAGTCTATTCTGGAGAATCTTCCCTATGAACTGGAAATGAATATACATTGTGTTGTTGTTGGGTGGAGTGTATTGTACACTGCTGTAGAATAAGCACTAGACTGCTAACTCCAAGGTCAGTGGTTCAAACCCCTCAGCCACTCCTTGAAAACTCTAGCTATACAGGGTCACTATTGATGGGAACCAACTCTTCAGCAGTTAACAACAACAAACAATTATTGTGGAGTCCTGGTATGGTGCTATAGGATCAACACTGGACTGTTAATTGCAAGGTCTGCAGTTCAAACCCACCAGCTGCTCCTCAAAAACCCTATACAGGGTCGCTAAGAGTCAGAACCAATTTGAAGGCACTGAACAACACTATTATAGTTGTTGTCATTAGGTGCCATCAAGTTAGTACCGACTCATAGCGACCCTATGCACAACAGAATGAAACACTGCCTGGTTCTGGACCAACCTCACAATAGTTACCAAGCTTGAGCCCAATTGCTACTACTCTGCCAATCCTTCTCACTGGGGGTTTTCCTCTTTTTCTCTGACCCTCTACCTTACCAAACATGATATCCTATTCAGTGATTGGTCCTTCCTGACAACATGTTTGAAGAATGAGACAAAGTTTGGCCATCCTGGCCTCCAAGGAGCACTCTGGCTGCACTTCGTCCAACACAGATCTGTTGGTTCTTTTGGCAGCCCATGGCACTTTCAATATTCTCCTCCAACACCATAACACAAAGGCATCAATTCTTCTATGGTCTTCCTTATTCACTGTCCAGCTTTCGCTTGCATATGAGGTTATTGAAAATACCATGGCTTGAGTCAGACACACATTAGTCCTCAAGCTGACATTGTTGCTCTTCAACACTTTAAAAAGGTCTTGTGCAGCAGATTTGCCTAGTGCAATATGTCATTTGATTTCTTGACTGCTGCTTCCATGAGTGTTGATAGTTGATCCAAGAATGAAGTCCTTGACAACTTCAATCTTTTCTCCGTTGAGATGAATGTTGTTTATTGGTGCAGTGGTGAGGATTTTTGTTTTCTTTACATTGAGATTCAATCCATACCAAAGGCTGTGCTCTTTGATCTTCATTAATAAATATTTTAAGTCCTCTTCACTTTCAACAAGCAAGGTTATATCATCTGCATATAGTAGGCTGTTAATGAGTCTTCCTCCAATGCTGATGCCACATTTTTTTTCATAGAACCCAGCTTCTCGAATTATTTGCTCAGCATACAGGTTGAATACGTATAGTGAAAGAATACAACCCTGTCGCACACCTTACTTCAATCTAAACCATTCAGTATTCCCATGTTCTGTTCAAACAACTGCCTCTTGGCCCATGGACAGATTCCTCATGAGCACAATTAAGTGTTCAGGAATACTCATATTTCACAATGTTGTCCATAGCTTGTTATGATCCACACAATTGAAAGCCTCTGTGTAGTCAATAAAGAACAGGTAAACATCTTTCTGATATTTTCTGCTTTCAACCAAGATCCATCAGATATCATCAATGATATCCCTCACTCCATAGCCTCATTTTTATTTTTTGTTGTGAATTATATGGGTTTACATGGGAGAACATCAGTTTTACGTTTATCCTGTCATATTTCGTTTCATTGCAATGATCACAATCACCTCCATGCTTCATCAAATAACCAAAGGATACACTCCACAGGACGACCCCACCCTCCCCCGGCCATCAGTGCACAGCCTCTCTCCCTCCCTGAGTCCAGTGCCCCCAGCTGCTCCATCTGTCCATATCATCATTTCTGTCTCCATCCCTGGTGTCACTGTCTTTCTCGGTAGGGTTCCGCTCTCCGCTCCTGGGCTGCAAAATCAATCACTCCCCTCCTTTTGTCAAAAAAACACTTACCTCTACATTTCCTACTCTCACAGTCAGTCCTGATGACAATTCTTCACTATTGTACTCACAAAAGTCTTATCCAATTTCCTTTCACCAACCCAGTCCCAACAGATTGGAAATCATTCAATGGAGGATCTACCTACCCTGCCTCATCTGAACTAGGCTCCCTCTTGAAAGCTTGTAAGCTTGTCACTTCTTAGCTTTATAGCGTGCCTCCCCTCCCTCCTTCCCCTCCTCACATCCCATACATCCAGGTGATCAGCAATTATATATATAGGTGTTGTTGTTTTCACCTTTTTGGATGGGTTCATTTTCTTAGTCTTTTACGATAATGGTCTTATGCAGTATTTCTCCTTTTGTGACTGACTAATTTCACTCAGTATAATGTCCAATGTCTAAGTTGCCCATACCTGTCAACCCTGTGTACCAAGGGGGTGGGAGTGATTCTTGCTGTAAAGATTTGTTCCCTTTTTTGAGTTACTACATCCATACATATAGGTAAAGTTCATCAAACTGTAGCAGGTTACTCTTTTTTTTTTTGTTTATTTCCCCCTCTCCTTTCTTCTTCTAGTTGAATTCTGATCACCAAGCCATCGAAGCCAGGTCAAGTGGATACAATCTGCAAGTATGGGGACTCTTGTGCGTCTCCCCTCACTTCATATCAGCTGGACGATTCACTCTCTGCTCCAGTCCCCCATGGACACATCACTGCCCCTGGGCACAGGAGTCCCGGGTCATGCTGTAACTGCTGCCCATCCAGGTCTCCACCTGGGTTCACAGGAGTCTATTGAATGTGATCGGACTTAGATCCCAACTTCATTGTTGTTTTTCCCCCTCTTCCCCTTATCAGTGACCACTGTGGTCACCAGCCAGACCACATGCCTGCTCATGTATTCCCCTTGTGTCTTAGTCTCGGAAGGCAATTTGCTCTGAGGAGACCTGGCCA